TATTTCAGCTGTTTTGCCTGAATTGACTTAAAAAAAAAAGAGCCATTGAATATAAAGACTATTAATTGCAACAGTGGCCTCATTCATGGTGTTGGCCTAACGGATTGTGCTCCACCTCTTTGCTCGGCGTAGATGGAGACCATGCCAAAAATATCGGCCAATCAAGTGCAGCAGATAAGAAAAAAAAAAAAAGCGTGAAAATACTAAACTTATTGTTCAGTTCAAAAACAGGGATCTCTGTTGTTGGAATTGGACAATTCTCCAGAAACTTTAGGCTAAATAAACTGAAACTAATAAGGAGTCTGTGTAATAGGAATCTGCATCACTAATTAATTGTACTTTCAGATAATAACACTGCTTTCCAGATGTATGCTGCAGAAAAGGTGACGCTGGAGATAGGAGTTTTAACTCACCAGGCAGACGGACGAGTGTTTGGGAGGTCATGCAGTCGATGTGAGTTTTCACAGGTGGAGAGCGACCAACCTGGCGAAGAGCCTGTAAACAAATCCCCCCAATAAATATGTGAAAGAAGCAGCAGGTTTAATAGGTTCCATGACGATCACATGGAAACACGGCAAGTTACCTGAACAAAGAGCTTGGTGCACTTGATGTCGATGATGAGTGGAACGGAGTAGTCCACAGCCATTCGCCTGGTCCTGTATCCCTTAGTGACGAAGGAGGACAGCCTTCTGCCGCCGCTGTTCCTCATGGAGAGGTTGATGACCAGGTCGAAGTGGTTCTCCTCCAGGTAGTTCATGATGCTGCGCTGCCTCTCTTTGGTGGAACCATCGCTTTCATCCTCCTCAAACGGCCAATCTACAGCCGTTACCTGGAGACAAAGGGCTCAGGTCACAAATCACCTCCAACAATAAACATTGAAGTTTTTTTTTTTTTTTTACATTAAAAAGTTTCCATCTTTTAAATAAAACAATCCCGCCACCTGCTGATCTTCATCAATGATTTAAAATGCTTCAAATTTAAGCTCTTTAGAGAACTGCTGACAAGCTGAAACTGCTCATTTCAACCAGTCATTTATACCAGCTGGACATTTATGGTATTATTGTAAATCAACGCACAATACTTGTTTGAAAGTACGACTGAAGCTCCAGTTTGTCATAACTCTTTGATCTGTGTATGAACTTTTATCTCCAATGCTTGATCATTTAATGGACAGCACAACAAATAAATGAGTGCCGATTGAAACGGCATCAGTTTCACATTCAGAGGAATATAAAAGCATAACGGTCATTAAACTGGCATTGATCATTGTTTGAAGTTGAGCACATAAACGCTCATTAAAAATCAATTAACTGTTTTTGGTTCTAAAAATTTAATTTTAGAAAGAGCTTGTTGTCAGGGAGAGCCATTTCATCCTAAACTAAATAAATAAGTGGATACAGTTATTAATAAATAATTATTCAAAAAAATATAGATTCTTTAGCTTATTTTGTCATTTACTTATTTACAACAGGATGTATTTATCAATTTGTTATGCATTTATTTCAACAGTTTTATTTAAAGACATGATTTTGTTAGCAATTTCTTTTGCTTCAAAACATTTATTTCAGTATTTATTTATAAAAAAAA